ACAAACCACCAGATTATTTTTTAAGCCATCTCAATCCACGTCATTTTCACGCAATCTGTGACCATCCTTTAGGCCCCAGGTAGAGCCACTTATTCCAGGAAGCATCTTGTGTCTCAGACCTCAGTAAGAAATACTCTGATCTGAGACAGCCTTCACTGATTTCTCCTAGATTTGCGTGGCTAGGGCAGTGCCATGGACAGGTAAGAGGGACTACAAGGAAAACATAAGAAGAGGAAAACATAAGAAGAGGAACACAATCTAAGTGCTTGTCCTACTTCACCCAAACGATTATTTCCCAAACACTACCATAGGGGTCTTGAATAAAATAAAGCTGAAATCTTATAAAATACGGTAAATTTTATTATTTAGGGACTTCAGGGGAAGGAAGAGCTGATAGTGCCACACTTCTTAAAAAGTTACTTCTTCGCTAATTCTCTGTAATTTGGGGGGTAGAAAACTTAGGTACCCAGCACAAATGGGTAAATAATTCATATAAGAAAATGTTTTCAAATAAATAAGATTTATCTCTGTGTGTGATTTTTTTTTTTTTTGCGGTACGCGGGCCTCTCACTGTTGTGGCCTCTCCCGTTGCGGTTCACAGGCTCCAGACGTGCAGGCCCAGCGGCCATGGCTCACGGGCCCAGCCGCTCCGCTGCATGTGGGATCTTCCCCGACCGGGGCACAAACCCGTGTCCCCTGCATCGGCAGGCGGACTCTCAACCACTGCGCCACCAGGGAAGCCCTCTGTGTGATCTTTTAACTATATTTTAACAGAATTTTAAAAATAAATTACATATATATACATTTCATTGTTTAAATTCTTAATTAGAACCCGGTAAACGTAGGTAACATGTTTTACACAGAAGAAATAAAATAAATTGTCCTTTTCTTAATTCAAAATTATCATTATGAAATCATCATGATCCACCTGTTATTATTCTATGCATTAAAAAGTAATGTCCTCAAGAAAAAGAAAAAAGAAATACCCTGATCTGTTATTCTGGTGAGCATCTAGTCGTGTTCCCAATAGTAGAGTCATCTGTGGACAAGCCCTATCCCTTACAGAGACCGCCTGTGTTCTACACAACTCCTACCCACCAGAGCCCACAAACATGGTAGAACTCACAACACAAAGATACTCTCTTATTAGAACAGTTCCAATAACCTTGTTAGTGAGTCCTTCTATGCTAAGTATCCCTGGAAGCACGCACCTAGAATCCCAAAATTTTAAAGCTAGAAAGGTCCTTTCAAGACACTCAGAAATTTCCCTCATATGTGAGGGAAAGGAGGAAACTGGAGAAGCCAAATGGCTTGTCCAAGTTTGGTGACAGAATTAGGACAATCCAAGCCCCTGACTACCATCCACGTGCTGCAAAGAACCTCAGTTTTCTTACGAAAACACTTTCAAGTGTGAAGTTGAGAAAACAAGTTACTTCTCCAAATCTCAAGTTTATTCTTATAAAAGAATGGAACAAGACCATCCTCAAGTTTTCTTCTGTCTCTAAAATCTGGTGAATCTCATTTTCATAATGTATAATACCACATGTCCCTGGCATGGTGTGGGGATAGAAAGCTGCTCTCATCTTCCCTTCAAGAATATAAACGTGGGAGAGGTACGTGAAGAAAGGGTGGGAGGAAGCGAGCGAGGTGATGGTGGGAGTTAGCTGGACGCCATTGGGAATCCCCTCTCTTCGCAGGCCCCCTCCACTCCCTCCCAGCAAGCCACAGAGAGTAGGATGGGGACTTCCCAGTAGCTAACCATACCACAGCCCCTGCTCCAGCCTCCCCTCTCACCTCCTCAGAATGCTGGTGGGAGGGCAGGAGGGCGAGATAGATGGATGAAGGAGGGCTGTTGGAAGCTTCTAGCTCCAGGCCAGGTTAGGAGCCAGTCAGTACTGATTAGCTGTCAGGGACCTGCAGGATAGACAGGGAACCCCGAGTGGCCACTCATTTCCCCTTGAGAATCAATGACTTAATTTTTCTGTTCTTTACCCTAGAAAGAGTAGGCATGAGGCCGAACAGGATTATTCTGCCACCTGAATAATCTCATGCAGTGGGATCACTGGCTTGGCTCAGCTGTTTGTCCATTTCCTGCACAGAATCCCACCCAATCAGAGCAGTGTGCTGCTCACCCAGGAATCGCCCACAAGTCCCAAAGATCCTTGGAGCCGTCGGCTATTTCAGTATCACGCAGAGCTCCTGGAGTCAGTGCTTCTAACATTCACATCATCAAGGATGCTCCAGTACTAGGCTTTGCCTCTCTAATTTGACACATAAAGTAATGCAGTTTTGAGTGGTTCCCTTCCCATATAAATCAGAGCTAATTCAAGCCTAGTCCTTTAGAATGCCACTGTCACTTCTTGTATTTTCTACTGTATTACACAGGATAAAGGGGTTGGGGGGGTCCCAGTTGGCCTCTAGGGGTTATGTCTAACCCTCCCTGCTGCATGGATGCTTTAAGTTATTCTCTTAAAAGTAATAATATTAACTGTTAACACATAATACCACTAACTGTGAGTCTGTTAACAGGTTTAGCTCTCACAACAACCCTGGCCAATAAGGACCATTACTGATCATATCCAAATAAGGACTATTATGGACTATAATGATCATTATCGGCTCCAGTTTAAAGATGAGAGACCAGAAGGAAGTTGCTGGCACAGAAAAATGAGGTCACTTGCTCAAGGTCATACTAGCAGCAAGTGGCAGAACCAGGATTCGAACACAGGTCCCTCCACTTCACCCAGGTGAAGGTGGCCTCCTAGGGGAGTGGGACACAGAGACCATCAACAGCTGGTAATAAGGGAAGAGGGGCAAGTTGAATTATTTCTTCAGAGTTGCCCTTTTCTTCCTCAGGCCGCCTGGTACTATGACAAGCAATGTCACATGGGATAAAAGGTTAACACCCAACCAGAAATGTTACCATAGCGAAAGGAGAAATCTCCAGAGCTCTCAGTGGGAAAGATAAAGGTAGACTAAGTGGAGAGTTCCATTTACAAAATTTTACTTTGATGCTAATAATTTATACCTACACCAATGGACATTTCCCCCATTTTACTGGCTTGCCAGTGGCTGGACAAATCCACATGAAGGCATCTATCTTAAATATCGCTTATTTCATTTACTACTTTGAGCCACACTTAGTCCTTTTATATCTCCTTGCACTCAGCTGATAATCTCAGGATACTCCACTGTGTTCACTTCAGAAAATTTCCCCTAAACATTTCCACAGCGCCCTTTAATTCACAGCTGTGCTCACTTTCCAGTAGCTCATGTTTTGTCAATGGGTACTTAATAGAGAATTCTGGAGAGCAAGCACTTTTTATGGCCTTTTTTCCCTATACCTTGGTAGGAAAAAAAAGAAACTGGCAGATTCAAGACTGCCATAGCTTTCCACTTCAAAGAGCTGTAAAACACTTGTTTACAAAAGCAGTCAGTCCTATTTTATTTATTTATTTATTTTATTTTTAATAATTATTCTATTTTTATTTATTTATTGGCCACACCAGGCGGCTTGCAGGATCTTAGTTCCCCCACCAGGGGTCAAACCAAGGCCCCCTGCAGTGCAAGGGCAGAGACCTAACCACTGGACCCGGAGAATTCCCAGTCAATCCTATTTTATGCAAACTTTTTCATGCAACGTCCTTATTCCTTAAGACATTCTTCAGGGTTCCCAGAAAGGGGACAAGCAGGAGGCAGACCTCCTCCCCAAGCAAGAGAAGCCATCTCAACTCTAGGAAACGGTGCGGAACCCAGCTGTTTCAGGGATCCCTGACCAAGATAGTGACAGAACATCAGGTGTTCAGAAACATGAAGAGTCGTTCTGCAAGGTGGATTCGCAGCCTCTTGGAACAGCTCTCCGTTCATTCCTCATCCCGACCCCTCCCACCCACAGCAGGCTCCCAAAACACAACAAAATCCAGAGGTGGCCGTGCTTCAGCTCCCACCAATCTCATCTTAAGTCTGGCGAAGAGAATGAATTTCTGCTTTCCCAAAGAAGGGGTTTTTATCAAGGCCTCTGCAGTTCCATTTAAGGACAGAGCAAAAAGTTTAGAAGTTTGGACTTGTAGAGACAGCTGAGTTTCGTGGATGTGACCCATTTAAACCAGGTCATTTTAAAATGCTCTTTCAAAGTCTGATTATATTAATAAATGAAATCACCCAATTATCTAAAAGGACGAACGAGCGATCTATGAAGTGAATACCCATGAATTAATGTAGGGCACTCTGAAAACTAAACTGTTTGGTGGGAGGAACAATCATATCAGTTTCGATTTTTTTTTCCTTTTTAAGTAATTTCCAGAGAACAATCTAGTTAAATGAAATCGCCACACGAAAAGCCGCCTCTAGGTGGATTTCAAAGTTAATGACATCTCTTTTAAACACACACACACACACACACACACTCACACCCACAACAACGTGTGGCGAAGTTTGAGGGGTTCTCATTATCACAGACCGATCCGGAAGCTGCTAGAAACAATTAAGCAGGATTTCAAAATGACTGGTACAGGATGTGCCCATAGAAAGAAAGTAAAGTTGAGCGCACTGGTGGAGCTGCCAAAGTTGCTACTGCAAAGTACCCTGAACTTTTACAGGGTGACCTGGGGTCACTCTGACCGCCCTTCCTCCGTCTGGTCGCCTTACAAACACACTAGCCCTAGTGGTATCTGGCGGGAGCGGGGAGGGGGGAGATGCGAGAACTGCGAGCGGGAGTGAAGGGCGGGGCAGAGGGAGGGTGCCTGCAGGAGCTCCAGGGTCCTTCTTAACTCGAAGAACGAGTTTCGCTGTCGTCCAAGTAGGGGACAACGAGGTGGCAATGAGCTTCCTCCCCCCGAGAGACCCACGCGCGGCAAGGACAGCAGGAACGTCCCTGGAGCGCTCGATTCCAGCTTTTCCGCGGGCCCGGGCGCGCAGGGGCCTGTTAGGGTTGGGGTCGGCAGGGATGCCCCGCGAGGAGCTGGCGGGCTGGCGTGGGTGAGGCCCCAGGAAGCGCCTACCTGTGCGGCGGCGCGCTCAGAGCCCGCGGCCCGGCCGCGGCGCGCAAGTGCTAGAGGCAGCCCGGGGACGGCCTGGGCGGGCGGGGCGCGCATCGCGCCCGGCGGGCTGTTCTCTTCCCGCCGTGGGGCGCCGGGAAGACTCCCGCCTCTTCTCCTGCCGGCTGAGGACACGGCGGGTCCCGCGGCGGCGGTAGCAACAGGCACCGAGGCGCGGGTGCGGCGGCGGCGGCGGCGGCGGAGGAGGAGGTGTCTGCGCGCGACTCGCGTTTCCTCCTCCGCGGCAGGGCGAGCGCAGGGGAGGCGAGGGGAGGGCAGAACCCGGGAATCTCCCAACTCGGTCCCCATGGACCTGAGAGGGAGAAGCGATGCTTCCTCCCTCTCCACTGCGCTGTTTGACTTGCGAGCGGCATGGCCGGGACGGGAAAGTCACACACGGACAACAGCTGCTGCAGTGCGGGTCCGTCGCGGCCTCCCTCCCTTCGCTCTCTCTCCCCTCCCCAGCTGTCCATCCTCAACCCGCCCCCTCGGCCTCCAGCCGCGGCCCGGGAGACGGTGTGCCGGGCGCCGCCCCCACCCAGCCCCAGAGCAGGGTCTTGGCCGCCGAACGCCTAGGGCTCCGGGGACGCGGAGCCCCGCGCGTGATTAAGGCCCTCGAGGAGGGATGTACGGTCGCACACCCTGTCTTCGGCGGCCTATTTATAGCAGGTGGCACTGCCCGCCGCGCTCTCCGCCTGCGAGGCTCTCAGCAGGTGGCACTGCCATCCAGCTCTTCGCTCCCCTGCAGTAGCCTCGCCTCATCTGCACTCTCGCCTTCTCTCTCAGAAATGGACCGGGTGAAGACTGCACAGAACACAGCAAGGCGATCAAGCCACCCGACTCTCCCCCGCATCACCCCTTCTTCCCGTCCTAGGCAGGGAGTGAATTCGGCACTGGCATCCTATGCGGCGCTTGCAGGCAAGGGTCGAAAATCGGGGACTCAGGGAAGAGCCGGAGGCTGAAGTGCCCTCCCCTATTAAACACCAGTAAAAACAACAACAACAACAACAACAAAAAAAAAACCCACCAGTAAACCCGTTCCCGAACTGCGGAGTGACGCAGAGGCTACATTGGGCGCTTTTCCCCTTCCTCCTGGTCTAGCGCACGCACGTTTCTCTCTCTCTCTCTCTCTCTCTCTCTCTCTCTCTCTCTCTCTCACACACACACACACACACACACACGCACACACACACACCTCGGTGTTCCCAACCCTCGAGTCAGGTTTGGAGAAATTCCCAGCGGCCTAGGAGAGACACCAGGGAGATGTAAGACGTCTGAGAAAGCGGGCTCCTAGGATTAGACGGCAGTGTGCAGGAAACAGGCAAACCTCCCAAATCCCTGTCCCACCAGGTAAAAGGGGGCAGTTTCACTCCGGGAGGTAGGTAGAGGGATCTGAGGAAAGTGGGGGACTTAGCAGAGAGGGGAAAGCAGGAAGAAGGGCGAGCTGGACGTGGGGTAGGTGGGCAGGGGGCTAGGCAGCGGCAGAAGGGGACGGCATCTCTCAGGATTTTTTGCTTAGTGTTAGCTGCAGGCTAACTTTAGGGAAGTAGCTGAATTTGAGCTATAGGGTTGGACGTGAACCCAAGTCCCAACTCTACCACTGAGTGGGCTTAGACAAGCTGCTGGACCTTTGGTCTCCATTCTTTTACCTGTAAAATGGGACCAATACACACTTTAAGAGACCATTGTGAGGATACAATGGCGAAGTGTACATAAAGTGCTTAGTGCAGGGGCACATATATGGACCTCCACTAATGGCGGCACCTATTGTTACCGTGGCTCAGGATGCAAATACAGGTCCAAGGTTCTCCCCTCCCTCCTTCCTCCCTTCTCCCTCCAGCAACAGTGAGTTGCTAGAAGCTGAGGAGGCTCTTGGAGCCTTTTCTTTTTTAAGATTTTTTTTTTTTTTATGCGGGCCAATCTCAAAGTCTCTACTGAAGTTGTTACAATATTGTTTCTTGGCCAGGAGGCACGTGGGATCCCAGCTCCCTGACCTAGGATTGAACCCACACGCCTGGCAGGGGAAGTCTCAACCACTGGACCAGCAGGAAGTCCCAGGCAATTGGAGCCTTTTTGATTAGGACTACCTTATGGTCCCTGATCCCATTTCCCTGGATGCTCACATCCCAGGGAGTTATATTTAAGTGGGATACAAAAGTTTTATCCACAGCTTTATTTAAAACTTATAATACTGGTAGCTATTATTCGTCGAGGGGCTAGTCTATTTGGGGCATTGTGGAAGCCACTTTATATATATTGTCTCTAATCCTCACAAAAATTCTTTAGGGCAGAGATGATTAAATCCACTTGACTAATGAGGAAACTAAGAGGTTAATGCCTCTTTGGACCACAGAACTAGTAGGTTCTGGGATCTAGATCCAAAGACTGTTATAACACACTTCCTCTCTGGTCACTGTGTAGCTCTCTTGTAGCACTCAATTCATTCTTTGTTATAGCACAGTTATTTGTGTACTTAGCCTCAAATCTCTTTTAAAAAAGAGGTAAGAGGACTTCCCTGGTGGCACAGTGGTTAAGAATCTGCCTGCTAATGCAGGGGACACAGGTTCGAACCCTGGTCCAGGAAGATCCCACATGCCGCGGAGCAACTAAGCCCGTGCGCCACAACTACTGAAGCCCGTGTGCCACAATTAGTGAAGCCCACGTGCCTAGAGCCCGTGCTCTGCAACAAGAGAAGCCACTGCAATGAAAAGCCTGCACACTGCAATGAAGAGCAGCCCCCGCTCACCACAATGAAGAGTAGCCCCTGCTTGCCAAAACTAGAGAAAGCCTACGTGCAGCAACAAAGACCCAACACAGCCAAAAATAAATAAATAAACATAAATAAATAAAATAAAACTAAGCATGTAATTTGGTGAATCACTTATTGTGAATAAAACCTCATTTTAAAAAAAGGAGGTAAAGGGCTTCCCTGGTAGCGCAGTGGTTGAGAGTTCGCCTGCCGATGCAGGGGACACGGGTTCGTGCCCCGGTACGGGAAGATCCCACGTGCCGCGGAGTGGCTGGGCCCGTGAGCCATGGCCGCTGAGCCTGCGCGTCCGGAGCCTGTGCTCCGCAACGGGCGAGACCACAGCAGTGAGAGGCCTGTGTACCGCAAAAAAAAAAAAAAAGGAGGTAAGGAATATATGCAGACATAAATAATGATTAGAATGTTTACTGGGTTATGGAAATTGTTCTTCATTAGGTTATAAGACCAGGTAAACCCGTTAAACCGTATTGTTACCTCTTGGATCACACCATAATCATTTCCCATTTTTGTCTCCAACTCACTCGAACAGTTCTCATCCCCTCTCTGCAGCAGCCTGCTGAGCATACTTACCTCCAGAGTGCTAGATGTCAAGACAGGCACACTCACCCATTTCGCTGACATCCCCAAACTGCCTTTCATACGCGACTGGCCAGATGATAGTTGAAACTATTACCTAACAACACTGGTCAGGGCAAGGCTGGACGCTGCACACATCCTGGCCAGAACTCCCTTCCAACCTGCCTTTTACTCCCTTTGCGTTTCCTCATTAATCCCCTTCACACTCACTCCATCCACACCCCCAGTCCCAGAGTGCAGGAAAGCTTAGGTAGAGGTATGCTAATCAGGCCACAAAGGTAGGAAGTGGAAGGGGTGGAGTACAGAGGCAGACCCGGGCCCCATGTCTCTCATAATATTCCTTCCCTCCACTCCACTGCTGTAATCTAGCAAGTTGTGGCTCAGAGGTTGACAACTTAGTGGCAAATGACCATTTCCCTGACCCTGTAACCTGAGTTAGGGAAGCGTCACGACCTTGCGAGAAGCAGTGATTTCTGCATCACTTTTCCAGTTCCCAGGGTCAGTTAGTGCCCTAGGGATAATAACAAGGGATTTTATAATACTTTTAGCTTCCTGGAAACAGAACTCCCTTGATAATATGTGATAAACATTTTCAAACTTTTTTGCTGCAAAGCATTGTCTCAGAGAGTAGAGGAGAGCCTGCCATCAACCTCATTGGCACTCATTTCTAGCAGCTCTGGAAGAAATAACAAAGGGGACTTTGGGACTAATGGTGTTCCTGGGATGGCAGGATAAAGACTGTTGAACAGGAAGGGGACATCCATGTGCAGAGCAGAAAGGTAAGAGTGACAACCCAGCTCTTAACCTGCAAGCGCCATTGCTCTAGGAAGGAAGTGGCTCCTTTCCCTTGTCACACAAATGTGTGACTCCCAGCAGGGCTGGGACACTGCCAAGGCAGAGGCTGGGGCAGCAGGGCCTTGGTGATGGCAACAGAGAGCTCTCTGGGGCCTGAGATGGGAGTTCTTTGTCACCATTAACAAAACCAGGTAGGGAATGGGGCCAGACACTGTTGTGACTCTGCTTCCAGCCCCTGATTCTCCTGAAATCCTGCCATGGATCATTCTGGGGGGGCTGCCTCTATAGATTCTTTCTTAATTTAGCTACTTGCCCCGTAATTAGTTGTTCATTCCCAAAAACCAGGAGCACTGATATCAGCTTTAAGATGGTTGTGGAGCTCTAAAAAATTGTGAACCACTGGCACCATTAAATCAAGTTGGGAGGCCCAGAGGCTGAAAGAAAACAGAGGCCACTTTACTTTTAAAAAGATAAGGGCAGGGGGGCTTCCCTGGTGGCGCAGTGGTTGAGAGTCTGCCTGCCGATGCAGGGGACACGGGTTCGTGCCCCGGTCCGGGAAGATCCCACATGCCGCGGAGCGGCTGCGCCCGTGAGCCATGGCCGCTGAGCCTGTGCATCCAGAGCCTGTGCTCCGCAACGGGAGAGGCCACAGCAGTGAGAGGCCCGCGTACCGTAAAATAAATAAATAAATAAATAAATAACGGGACCATATATAAATCTAGAATGAAAAGTCTAATGGTTAATGTAGAAAAGAGACCTTTAATAAAATTACTCATTATTATTACATCTATCAGTTACTTATTTAAATGTTCATATTAGTTGGAAATCCAAACTCTGATTATTGCTATGATATGTTTTCACCTAACTTCCAAATGTACAAAATAAGGTAAGAGTTTTAAACTAGTGGATCTATTTCCAAGATTGGCGTAGAGGCAAGAAATTAAGATTGTATTGGATA